GCGCAGCGGGCCTTGGACGCCCCCAGCCCAGCACCGAACAACCGCGGCAGCAGGTAACCGCCGGCCGTGGCGGGCGCGCGGCGGGGCGAGGGTGGTAGACTGTCCTGACCATCTCCTGGCTCGCCCCAGCCCGCCCTGGCCCCGGGGTCATTGTTGAGCCGCCCCCGTCAGGGCCGGGCTGCCCAGGCCTGCTTCTTCCTCTCTGGGCCGGGCTGGGCCAGCCGTGCGCCCCGCCTGGCGCACGCCCCTGGGCCGGTCGGCAAGGGCCAGCGGCCAGCGCTGTGCCAAGGCCAGCCGCCCTGACTCATCTACTCGGCCTGGCCCCCGCCCCTGGAGCTGGCTGCCCCACTGGTCAGCCCAGAGGGCGGATGTCTCCAGGCGGGACTTCCCCCGAACCACCCAGGGAGGAGGAGAGCGAAGACCTGACTGCCCAAAACCGGCCCGGGGCAGTGCCTGCGGATTTTGTGCCAGCCAGTGTCCAGGGACAAGCAGTTCTCTGCCGCTGCCTGTCGAACTCTGGGAATAGGAGGAAGGCCCATTTTGTTCAGTTCTAAAAAAAAAAAAAAACCAAACAAATAGTGGGCGGGAGTGTGACTAGGAGCAGAGAGGCAGAGAAGGCGTATGGCGGGTGGCAGTCTCCGCAGGCTCAGCCACAGCAAGTGAAGGGAGAACGGAGTTTTGTACCTGGAGCGCTTAGCAGGTCCCAGGAGAACAGGAGTGTGGACATGTCACATGGAAGAGGCCAGGATCGGGGCTACCTCTGAGACTGTGGACACTGTCATACAAGTTCGCGGTGGGGGCGGGGAAGGTGGTGTGCAAAGGATGTGGTTGGGTTCAGAAGTGAGGAAGGGATGTTGTACTTCAGGGTTCCTTAACTGCGTGTGTGTGTTCCATGGGGGTAGCGTCTGCTTCCCCTATGCTAAAGGTTTGAGCACAGGGGAGCGAGTTTTGGAAAGTGAGACCGTGGCTTTCCCTGCTGTGAAACCAGCATGAGGTAGACTCTTGTGGTAGCAGGGCAGTCAGGGAAGATGGAGAGGCGCGCCAGGAGCCGGGGAGGTGGCCCTGGCTGCTGACAGCTCCCAGCCCACCCCACCTCCGTCTGGATCCTGGAGTCTCCGCCTGGCAGCAGCCACCAGTGAGCGGCTGTCTAAACACATTGCTTTGTGTCTGCCCCAGGGCCAAGGCTTCCTGTGCAGCAGGGCAGGGGTGAGGGTGGAGCCTGCGTGGGCATCTGGCTCCCAGGTGGGGAGGGCAGGCAGGGAGGGGAATGGCCTAATAAGGAGTGAATATGGACAAGGACCCCAGCCAACTTCTCCGTTTGGCTGCTCCCGTTGGGTCCCTCTACCCGCACCGGCTGACTCCCGGGAGGGATGCAGGGGGGTCTTGCTGGGGAAAGGCCAATAAGACCGAGACAGGAGGCTGCTTGCTTTTCGGAGGCGGGCTTTCTAGAATGCTCCAGCTGGACTAACCAGACCTTCTGGTTTGCATAGTCTGAGTTGATGTTAGCGTCTGTGCCCACCACACACCCCAGAGAACTAGTAATTTGAGTGTCAACCAGGAATAGTCAAAGTGAAAACAAGACGCTGAGTGGCCGCATGTGACGGGACTTGGAGATTCAGCAAAGGCTCCCGTCCCGGGAATCGGAGGCTTTGAGTGTGGGTTTCTAGAGCCAAAAGCGCTTCAGCCTCCTGGTGTTGCCGAGCACCAGCTTGCACGGGCTTCCGCAGGGGCCTCCTGGGAGTCCCCCTGGTCAGTCACCACCCTGTGCTTTTCCACTGCGTGGTGATGGCATCAGGAGGGGCTACTGTAACCCCGGGCCCTGTACCTCTGTTTGGGACTTCAGTAACAAGTAGATGCTGTACAACTCTGGCACACCTGTCCTCAGGCCGTGGCTGCCTTAACCGACTAGCTGGCGGCACTCTGTGCTGGACACCCGGAGGCTGGCCCGGTAGACCCAGGCCCAGCACCCCCACCCCAGCTGGCGTCCCAGGCTCCTCCCAGGCTCGCTGGGAGCTGGGGCCTCTCTGCTCTAAGGGTCAGAAGTGAGTGTGTAAGGAGCCTGACCCCCCGAAGGGCTTCCCATCGCTCTGGTGTCCAGTCAGTGGGCTCTGGAAAGGGTCTCTTGATGAAGGGAAGCAGCGGGGAGAGGACAGACAGCAGCGGGAGAGGCCAAGCCCCAGGACAGGCAGTGCCAGGGCTGCAGGGCAGCTGTGCCTGGTGTCGGTTGTGAGCTGTGCACCACCGGCCCTGTCAGCGTCCAGGCGGGGGCTCTTGTGGAGCCCGGTGTCAGCTACACTGAGAACTAGAAAGCCCCGTGGTTGGTGCCATGAGGGAGGCAGGGGTCAGGAACTGCTACAGGGAGGGCGTGCGGTGCCAGCCAGGCACCCCGTCTCAGGGTGCAGTTCCACAGCAGGAAGGTGGCGCTACTTCCGCTTCCTCCCCCGCCACCACCCCAAATTCACTCGTCTCCCTTCTTCCCCCTCTTTTCAGCGGAAGGGTCTCTGTTCCTGCCTCATCATGTCACGACGAAGCCAGCGCCTTTCTCGCTACTCCCAGGGCGACGATGACGGCAGCAGCAGCAGCGGGGGGAGCTCGGTGACAGGGAGCCAGGGCAGCGTGTTTAAGGACAGCCCACTCAGGTAGGGCAGCCTGCCCGCTGGCCGCAGGGCAGAAGGCTCCTCCACACCCTGGGGGGTGCAGGGTCCCCCTGGTGTGAGCCAGGCAGCCTGCATGTACACAACAGGAAGTGGGGAGTGGCAGCTTCCAGTCACCTAGGCCGGAAACCCTGAAACTGCAGCTCAGCTGGGTGGGCACTCCCGGCTCACTGGCCTCCCGGGGCCTCAAGCCGCCCATGTTGAAAGCCTGAGGCCCTGAGGCCAGGATCATCGTCCTCCCCCAACCACCCTCCCTCCCAGTTTTGGCCAGCTCCAGGAGGCCAGGTGGGGCTTGTCTGGGTTTTCAAAGCGTGAAAAAAAAACCTTCACTTTGAAGTTCAAGCCTGGATTTGCCAGCAGGCTCCATCACCCACGGAGGACCTGCCTCGCGCTAGCGAGAGTCAGAGACAATGGAGCAGAGGAAGTGTCTGCTCCGGCGGCGGATGCTGGAGCTGTTGCCTAGCAACCGGCCGGCCTGCGCTGAGCCGCTTTCCTGCCAGTCTGCTCACCTGCCCGTCTGCCTCTCCCCGCAGGACCCTGAAGAGGAAGTCCAGCAGCACAAAGCGCCTCTCCCCAGCGCCCCCGCTGGGTCCGTCCTCCGATGGACACACCTCCTACTACAGCGAGTCCATGGTCAGGGAGTCCTACATCGGCAGCCCCCGGGCCGTGTCCCTGGCCCGGAGCGCCATCCTGGACAGCCAGCTGCACAGCGACCCCTACTGGAGTGAGTGCCCAGACGGTCCTGGGGCTTCCTCTGGACACTTAGGGCCATTTCCTTGTCTTGGGAAAGGCTTGGAAAAGCAGCCTGGCGGGCCAGCTCCCAGGTCCCTTTAGACGATTAGTGGCACTGTCACTCCAAGTCCAGGAGCCAGAGGACCCACAGTCACCCTCCCGTGGGCCGGAGAGCCTGGGGCGGACTGCCCCGCTGTGGGAGAGGCTCCTCAGGTGTCCCCAGGACCCCCTGGGTCACGGCTTCCTTCCCTCCTCAGGTGAGGACCTGCGGGTGAGGAGGAGAAGAGGTACAGGCGGCACGGAGAGCAGCACGCTCAACGGCCTCCCGGAGAACAAGGTGTCCGAGGACTTCCTCGGGTCCTCCTCGGGCTACTCCTCCGAAGATGACTATATAGGTAGGGGACCCCCCACCCCACCTCGGTGAGCGGCAGGGCGGCGATGGGAGCCTGCAGGAAGCCCTCGCTGGCGGCTGAGGACAGCTCTGGGACAGGGCCCCCTGAGCCCAGGCCTGGGGGGCCTCAGCACCCCGTGGGCTCCCACCCGCCTTGAGCAGCCCAAGGTCAGCTCATTTCCAGCAGGCACTTTAACAGGGGACTTCACGCAGAGGCGCTTAATAGTTGTGTGGAATGCATGAAGGGCCTGCAGCCTAGTTGTGAATAATGGCTGACAGGATGCAGGGGCCCAGGGATGTAGGATGCCAGACATCAGCTTTTCATCCTGTCAGGGACCCCACTGCCCCCCCTCCCCCAAGTACAAAGCTCCAGGAGTTCAGAGGTGCTGACACTCGGTCTCAGTTCTCCGTCAAAAGGAGAAGACAGTAGACAGGTTCCACTCCACGGCTCTGCAACGTGAGGGCTACGCTGGTTTCCTCTTGCCTGCAGGGTACTCCGAGTTGGACCAGCGGAGCTCAGGCTCGCGGCTCAGGAAGGCTGTCTCTGGGGCGGGCTCGTTTGTGTGGATGGTGGTCACTTCTCCAGGTGGGTGCTGGCTGAGCTGTGCTCGGCGACTTCTGTTCCCCACAATAGTGACCGCTTCCCCGTCTCTGTAGGGGGACAGCCGGCCCCTATAGAGGCTGTAGCAAAGCCTACTTGGGAATGATCGTTGGCAGCCAGGGGCCATGGGAACAGCCAGGAGCAGCTGTGGGGTGGGCAGCTGGGCCAGGGGGCTGGGCGGGGCAGGGCAGGCCAGAGGTGTGCTGGTAGGTGGTTGCAACACCCCAACCCCCAGCAGGCTGCTGAATCAGGGTCACTGGAGCTAGGGGTTTCTCCTTCAGGTTGGCTCTTCAGGCTCCTCTACTGGTGGGTGGGCTCGACCTGGTACCGCCTGACAACAGCCGCCTCCCTCCTGGACGTCTTCGTCTTAACCAGGTCAGCTCTCAGCACAGCCACGAGTGGGAAACCTGGGGCAGTGAGGCTGATGGACACGGACACGTCTCGACACTTTTACTAGTGTGCAGGGGAGGTGGGGGGGGGGGCTTGAGCCCTGGCTGCTACAGAGCTTGGGGCCCAGGGCGCAGGTTCGTGTTTCCTCTTGGACACTTGCTACTAAAAGCCAGCCCAGCCACTTCTGAGCCCCTCTTTCTCCTGCTGGGAGCCTGGGAGGCCACAAGGTTAGGGTGACAAGTGGTGTTTCCCCAAAGCCCACTTCCCTCTGGGGTTGTGGCCACCTGGCCCCCCAGTTTCCCTGTGCCATTGTGGGTTTGCTCCTCAAACCCCTGACCCAGCAGGGCTCTGAAAATAATCTCAACCCTCAGCAGAGGAGGGAGCCGGGAAGGCGGGGTCCCTCCAGCCGGCAGTCCCTGGAGCAGCTGCCAGCTACCCCAGGAGGGGGAGAGGACCGAGTCCTGTCACCAGGAGAGGACTCCTCATTTTTCTGAAAGAAAAGATGGTTTGAGTCCTGTGGGGTTTTTTTCCCCTATATTTGTTTACTTCAAGGAAGGACCTCACTGTGAAAATTTTAGGTTTTTCAGAGACCCTCACTGTTTATTTTTAACAAACTTTAACACTGTAAAATTCCGTCAGAGTAGACTTAAAGGCCTGCAGAAGAGCCTGAAAGTGTCCAGTGTGGCCAGCAGGGTGACGCACCAGGGCCTCTAGCACACGGGGAGCATCTCAGGGACCTGAGGGGACGCGGACGCCCTGGGCCGCCTGACTCCCCACCCCCTTGGCTGTTCCAGACGCTTCTCATCCCTGAAGGCGTTCCTGTGGTTCCTCCTGCTGCTGCTGCTGCTGACTGGCCTGACCTACGGTGAGGTCCCTGCTGCCACAGGGGAGGGGGGGCAGCCACGGACAAGGGGCAGAAGGGCCGGAGGGCGGGACAGAGGGGTGAAGGGTGGGCTGAAGCAGAACTGGGCTGGAGGGAGACTGAGCCCTGGGGGAGGTGGGGCCACGCCGAGGGGCCCAGGCGGGCAGCCCCCAGGTGCCGGCAGGGGAGGGCACTCGGGATCCTGTCCCCTGGTGGGCGCGCTGCGCTGTCCTGCAGCACCCGAGCGGCCCGGGGCTCCTGGGCTGGAACCCGCCTCCTGCAGGAGTTTGGGGGTAACAGGCAGGGCTCTGGCGCCATCGTACGTACACTCATTTCCCCTCCATCCAAATCAGGCTAGTCTGGGTGAGCGGATTCTTGCTAGCGTCAGGTTGAGCCCCAGCTGTGTCTAAGATCAAAGCCAGGACGCGGTGAAGGGAAGCAGCTGGGAGAAGCGGGCGCGGCTGAGATGGTGATGACGGCATCCGCCTCTGGGCAGCTCTCCACCTGGGGCCTCTGTGGGGCCTCAGTTTATTATAGCTTTAAGGGTCATGCCAATTTATAGCTAAGGACCTTGCCTTCCTTCCCCCAGGAAATCGCCTTTAGAGGTGTAGTGTCTACTCAACTTGTATTTCTTCTGTTACTACCAAGAGAAAGCGAGTGTTGATGTCCCTGTCGTTTCCTAGCGAGCTGTTCACACCCAGGGGCTGCGCCTGCCCTGGTGATGACCCTTGAGGGTGTTCGGGAATGTTCCCGTGGACCAGCATCTGTTAGCTTGACAGACATACGGTCACAGTTCAACCTGAGCTTCACCTTCACCCCTTGGGGCTGGAGCCCGGTCAGGGAGCCTTGAGGGGCAGAGCAGAGGCAGCAGCAGGGCTTGTCTGGGGGCTGTGCCAGCCCGGGGCTTCCTGTCGCATCTGCTCCTGGGGGCGTCATTGTGTGACAAGTGTGGGCTCCACCCAAGCGGAGACCCCAGTATGGCACCCTCCACGCGTACGCACACCGTGCACACGCACACCGTGCACTCTCGGACGCGCACACGCACA